TAAAAATAGATAAATCAGACTGAAAACAAAGAACTTACAGCAGCCTAGATATGTTTACATACATACAGTGGATTCCAGATAAGGCCTACTGCTGGGCACACTGGTTTTCCATACTGCTGCCAGGGCACACATGAATCATCTCCACCGCTTTGTGTTTCTTTCTTCTCTCCTCCTTTTTGTTCTGCTGCTGGTTCTCCTCCATCTTCTCCTCTTTACAGTCAATCACAGGAGAGCTTCAGGGGACCAACGCAAGAACACAAGCACATATTACTGAATATCTGCACTATATTATATATATATTAATAGTGGATAATGTAATGATTATGATCAAGTTAAAACAAAAAGAAAGGAATAATAAACAAGTTAGCAACTTATTAGATACATAAACAGATTAAATAATCTGTTGAGCAGAACAAAAACTAAGGTGTCGTTAAAATGTGATATACTGTTCTTGTGTCTAATGTAATGTTTTCTGTTAGAAAGTTGTGACGTCAAGGTTTGTCACACTGTGTTCTCACCATCACCTCGGCTATGTAAACCGAAAAACTGCTACAAGGTTGGTCCAGTGATTGATATGTAATGAGCTTTTTGATTTCCAGTGTAGAAAGACTACTTTCTTGGCGACAGAGACATTAAGGTCCATTTCTGTGATACCAGGGCTTTAAGTCAAAACACACTAAACAGTTGGTCGGTTTACGTTGATAAAATAAAGTGCTCAACATGACTGAACATGCTACAGGTAGCATACAGCTGCAGATGTAGCTACTGCAAGCTCTTACCATGCAAACCTGCAGCCTTTGGTTTGCCACAGAAGAAAACCACAACAGGAAAAAGAACTGGATTTCTGCTTATTCTACAAAGAACATCTGAAATAGCCTGAACAATTTTAATGGTACCCCCCAGTGATCAATCGGAGTTACCGCTTTGCAGTTATATGCCATGAAATGTAACCAAAACTTAGTGAAACTCTCAACTGACCTGCAGACTGAACCAAACACCAGACAGATAAATGCAGATTAATGAACATGTGTCCTGTAAACAAGTAAAAGGAAATGTTTGACTTTGTACTGTTCACAGTGCACATACTGACCTGGGCGTGGGAATCAAAACTGGCTCATCTTCACTGATATTCATACACTTTGCAGGCTGTGGCTCAGGCTCTGAACCTGTAACACGAGCTGGGGATGATTAACAGTGCACTTCATATCCTGTTAGTGTGAGTACATCAAAGTGTAACGTTAAAGGTGGATTTTAACTTTTGGTTCTGGGCCAGTCCACAGCGTTGTTGACTTCTGATACACCCACCTTGTCTGAAGTTCACAGCCTCAGCTGTAGGACAGATGTCAGCCTCAACGTCTGAATTCAGAGCACGTGTGACATCCACCTCCAGGAGACCCAACTGCCCACCCTTGTCAAGTATGGTTTCCTCAGAGGACAGTACAATGTCCACAGGCAGTTTCTCTTTCTTCCTCTTCTGGATCAGATTATTTTTTGTCACTGTAGGCAGCAACATTACGGTCATGTTCATGCAACAAGCAGTCAGGTTTCTCTGTAGAGAAGCACGTCTAGTGTGCAAAGGTAGGGTTGGCATTATTCTACGCACTTACCTTTGGGTTCATATTTATGTTGGAGCTCCTCTATTCGCACCTGCAGCTTGATCTTGTCACTCTGAGCCTGCAGCAGGACACAGAAGTGTACAATGACACAAGATTACAGATATCACACAAACATTCACAGTGCTCGCCAGCGGAATTCATGCGAGAGAGAGATAGTGTTGGATGGAGGATGTGTTTCTGAAACTCATTTTCCTGTTTGCACATGGACAGTTTATTATTGTTTGCAGTGTTTATTGTTAGGTTAGCACAGTCACTAACTGTAGCTTATGGTGAAAGCAGGGCTTAAAATATGGGTGTGCATTGTTTCTTCTGGTACAGCCCAACAATAATGATGTGACCGTTTCTCAGTTGTTACACATTATGGATCAGCGTGTCTGACTTATGTTTGTCAGGTAAAAAAGGAACAGAGCAGTAAAGCTCAGTGTAAACATTTCCACTTCTCATGCTGGGTTGATGACATGTTTCAAACAAACTTGCAAACAAACTCCCAACTTTATGCTGCAGCCTTTTCAGCTTTGTACATCTGTGCCACCTCTTTGCAGTTTACCACCCTGGAATGGTGGAAGTGCTGCTTCCATTTGTATCTCTACCGTATACCTGGAGGAGACCCAGGCTGTCAGAGCAGCCTTTCACCTGTTTGAGCAGCCGTTCACATGTGAACAGTTTCCTCTCCAGCTCCAGAGCTCTCTGGCTCTCTGATAAAGATTTCATCCTCTGCAGGGAAAGCTCATTTCCTAGACGTTCTGCATCCTTACTGAGGACACACACACACACACACACACACACACACACACACACACACACACGGATTTCAGTGAACCAAGGAAGTCATGCATGTAAATGAGAAACAAATCCACTGTGAATGCAGCCTCTGAGCTGAATATCTATCCTAGAAAATCTTCAAACTTTCATAAAGAAATTTGTGAACCAAATTAGCAACTTGTTTTGTTACACTAATCAATGAACTCTCACTTAATGATGATATAAAACATCTGACTGAGAAGGAGTGACTTGAATTTGTCTCCTGGCTGTCTTACACAAGTTAATCCCAGTGCCACCATCTGGTTCGCTGCTGCCATCTCTGTGACAATACCAGACTAAATTGCTCTTAAATGTGATCTCTGCTGCATTACAGCTTAACTGCACAGAACTAACAAACCAAGCTGTTTGCTTAACTGAGCTACAGCTCTGCCCAAACAGTTAGTGCATGATGAACCAGACTCACACAGTGTTGCTGAGCTTCATTTTGAGCAGGTCAGTGTAGTAGGTTTCATCTTGGCCGTCGCTGCTCTCTGAGGGAGCAGGATTGACTGGCTCAGACTTCAACATCATCTACAGACACACAAACACGCACAATTATTTTTTTATGTGGTCAGTTCTGTTTCTTTGTCCATGTTGAGCCAAAGGACAAAAAATTATCCACATTTTCAAAAGGAAATCAAAGTTTGATGTGATGTTCCAATGCCATGATGTTACTCAGTGTGCACAGTGTGAGAATAATCCTTATCCTCACATTGACCTTCTCCGGGTGTTGGTTGTTGAAACAAAAGCTGAATTTTTAGTCCATTTGGTCACCTGATAATGTGGTTTTGATTTGATTGTCTTTCCTGTTGGTACATAAGCTCCATAAGGTCAGGAAACACTCACCTCTGCTTTCTCCAATCTCTGCAGTTTAGTCACGAGACTCTGGATCTCGCCATTTTTCTCGGACAGCATGGACTGGAGTCTCTCCAGCTGAGCAGGATCTGCCCTGGAACTCTGGAGCTGCATCAGAGTGGCTATCTGAACCTGCACAAAATAGGCACATCCTCAGCAGCATTCGGTTAAAAACACAAACAACTGTGCATGTGTATAGCTGAGCTCATGTAGGGTCTACTGTATCTGTTTGCCCTCTACAGCACACGCTACCTTCATGCGCTGCAGATGCTGCTTGCTGAAGGCATGTTGTTTCTGCAGGGACTGGTACTGGACCTTCATACTGATGAGCTGTCTCTCCATCTCAGCACGCTTGTCCTCCAACTGAAAAACAAACAAGTCAACACATGCACTCTGATTTTTGCAGGCTTATGTTTTTGCATCCTGTATACCAAACATTTTTGGTGATTAACAGTGCTCTCAATTTTACAACCTGGTTTTTACCTCAGCAAAAAGAGAGTTGCCCTTGCTGTTGGGATCCTGCGCCTGCTGCAGAACCTGGTCCAACTGGACCTGGAGGTCTCGGTTCATCTCACGAGATTTCTGTAATGACACAAAGATAAACACAGACATAAAGATACAAATGCAGACCAAGGGACAGAGAGACATGGACACACAGCGCTGTCAATCTCATCATGACAGTGGTGCAGCGCAGGAATTGGATGCTCAAAACGTGACAAACACCTTTTCTTTTTGCTAAAATTATGTACTGTAATACAGCTTAATATGACATTGGATTGGCCGTTTTGAAAAAAGGTTTCCATTTATATAGATGGAGAACTAATCACAGTTTGGTTAGTGAAATATAATGTGCCGAAAATAATTTAAAAAAAAAATTCTGATCTTTCAACCATAAGAATCTCATAGTACTAGTGGAAAAAGTATATGAACCCTTGAGTTAATGACCTCAAAAAAGCTAATTGGAGTCAGATGTTAGCATACCTGGAGTCTTGTTAAGAAAATGAGTTTGGAGGTGTGGACTAGAGCTACTTTGGAAAAAACCACTCAAACCTTTTGAGTTTGATCCACACAAGAAGAATATGCTTATATGAGCCATGCCTCGCCAAAAAGATCTACGATCAAGAATTGTTGATTTACATAAAGCTGGAAAGGGTTATAAAGTGATTTCAAAGACTTTAGAAATTCACCAGTCTACAGTTAGGCAAACGATCTACAAATGGAGACACTTTGGGATCGTGGCTACTCCACCAAGAAGTGGGCACCCAGTCAAAATGACACCAAGAGCACAACAAAGACTCATCAATGAGGTAAAGAAACAACCTGGAGTGAACCAAAGATTTGAAGGCATCATTAGAACTGGTTAACATCTGTGTTCATGAGACTAAAGTAGATAAAACATTGAACAAGCAGGGTGTCTATGGCAGGACACCATGAAGGAAGCCGCTGCTTAGTAAAAAGAACATTGCTGCATGTCTGAAGTTTGTGAAAGAGTACATTGACACTCCACAGCGGTACTGGCAAAACGTTTTGTGTACTGACGAAACTGAGACTGAACTATTTGGACACTGCATATCATGATGAAAACATCATCCCAAACGTAAAGTATGGTGGAGGAAACATCATGATTTGGACCTGCTTTGCTGCGTCAGGGCCTGGCCAGCTTGTAATCACTGAGGGGAAGATGAATTCCTAAGTGTATCAAAAAATTCTTCAGGATAATGTGAGAATGTCTGTACATCAGCTGAAACTCTGTAGAAGTTGAGTGATGCAACAGGACAATGACCCAAAACACTGGAGCAAGTCCACAACAGAATGGCTTCAGAAAAACAAAATCCACCTTTTGGGATGGCCAAGTCAGAGCCCAGACCTCAACCCAATAGAGATGCTATGGAATGACTTGAAGAGAGCCATACACATGAGATGTCCAAAGAATATGACAGAGCTAAAGCAGTTCTGCAGGAAGAATGGGCTAAAACCATGAAATTCCAAAAGGTTCACATACTTTTTCTTGCCACTGTATCTGATAGAAGCACCATGGGTTTGAATCCTGGGTGGCTTAACAATACCTGTTCACAGGAGCAGTTTTCACAGTACAGCTGCTGTATGGTAGCCATAACCTTAGTACCAAGGAATCGAGCACAAACGCAGTCAAAGCAGTGAGTGGACGTAACCACAGCAGCACAGCGCTGAGCTGCATAAAGTACTGCTGTAGGTAAATGGTGCTGTATTTACCTCTAATGCATTAAACCAGGAAACGGCCTCTCTTTCTCGCCCCTCTTTCTCCTCTGTGATTTGCTCCAGGTGACGTTGCAGACTTCTGTTGGTCAACTCCAGCTGCTGCTCTCTGTTCTGAGACTCCTGCAGAGTCTGCTCCAACTCCAGCTGGTAGACACAACAAAACACAACTTCACTAATACAATTCTGCCTGAGGGAGAAACGCACACATGCAATTTAACATGAGCTGGAGTACAGGTCAGCTCTTCATGAAAAACCAGTAACCTATGACATGAAGGTTAAGGTCAGAGTCTGTAGTTAATGATATGCAAGTTGTCAGTGAGTAACTGTGGAACAGGCAGATGACATTGCAGATATGCTCTGCTCCCCTGCACCTTAATGTTCTCCAGCTCCATGATCTTCATCTGCACCTCCAGCATCTCAGATGTCATGGAGCTCTGTGTGTTTTCATTCAGAGCCTGCAGCTCTTCCATTTTGTTATTCAGAGTCTCAGTCTGCAACTCGAGCTTGTGGGTCAGCTGTTTCACACTCAGCTGAGACTCCTCCAGAGTTGACTGCAGCCTCAGCATCTGGGGAAAAAAATACATACACACATCAGCCATTACTGCATATAACCAACTGCCATGTGGTTGTCAGTCATCCTCAGCACAGTCCACTCAGCGTTTTTAATACTCAAATTAAAAATGTGCATATAAAAAGTACTGAGACAGAGCTATTGCTAAGGTTATTAGTAATGCTAGTGCTTGTTCTACTAACATCAGTCAAAATGCCTGCTGTGATCGGCTACAGCTTTTCTTCCATACCCAGAATAGAGCACAGATTAATTTACCTTATTGTTGAGCTCACTAAGTGCCATACTGTGGCTCCTCTCCATTTGTTCTTGTTGTTCCTGAAGTTGCTGTCTCTGCTGCTTCTTCACACATTCATAGTCTGACTGCAGTGACTCTAGCATCCGGGTTTTCAACTCTACTTCTTTCTGCAGGGTGTACTTGTCTTGTTCAAGGGCCTGTGTCAGACACATACACACAGAGAGATCACTCGAGGACAGATGGAGATGTTTGAAACAATGTCTCGGTAATCCACAGACATCACTGAGAACAATCAGTAATTGTAAACACTGTCTCCTGAAAAGTTAACTCATATAATAACTCTTGATACTGAGGTTTGTTTAGGGGTGATGGCACAATTTTTAAGTGGATACCTGAAAACAGAAAGCTGTAGTCTAGTGTCTATATAATACTACAGTCAATGTGATTTAGATAAGCTGTCCCTGGACAGTGCAGTGTCATACCTCCAGGGCATTGGTCATCTCTACTCTCTGTTCATCCAGTCTGTTCTGCAGGTCCATCTGCTGGTTGAGGAGATCTAGGCCAGCCCGAGCAGCCTGGTGGACCTGCTCCTCGCTCTCCTTCAGTTGGCGCCTCAGCAGCTGGATCTCCTCCTCTGCTGTCATCTGGAGAGCGCAGGGAAAAAATGTTGTTGTTTTTTTTAATCTGCTTTATGCATCCAGTACCATGCTCACAAGAACCCAGCACACACCTTGTGAAATTGTGAACACTGTGCTCCAGATACACAAGCTTTGTCCCCCTCATTTTACCTCACCTAAATAAGCCCGACAGCATTCGTGCTTGCCAGGCTTGGTTTTGTGGCAGTAACGTCACTGCGATCAGCTCGGGCTCTCTCCATTGTTTAACTAGTTAGCCATGAAGCTGTGGCTCCTCAGCTGTT